TTAATTGATTAAATAAAATAAAATAATTTAGAATCACACAAACTTTATCAAATTTAGTATGAGACAATTTTAGTGAGAATTCACAAAAATGTAAAATGAAACAATATTAACAGGTCAAAGGAAGTAGTATTTTATACGGAGTACTACAATAAAGAGTTCTTGTAAGCCCATCTAGGCCCAACCCTATTGGTGACAAATGGGTCAATCCGGCCTAGTCCATTAAGTCAAACTATATAGACACTTGTGCAAATTATCCGTATAGTCAACTTTTGGGTGCAAGATATCATTTCTGGTCCAACTGATCTTTCTTTTCATTTTTTACTTTTCTCTTTTTAAATTTGATTTTTTATTTCACTTTTAGACCTATTTCTTCCCATCCCTCCTTTCTGTTTTCTATTGTTGTTTCCTTCCCCTGCAGGCGAAACAATTCTGAGAGCCGCTGGGAAGCTTGGAGAGGGGCAACGACATCCAACTCTCTTCTCAGGAGAGGGAATTTCATGGCCATGATTGGGAGACATTTTTTAGTCCGAAGATGGGGATTATCCACCCCTACATCAACGAGAGATGGCAAATTTGGTGCTGACAACCACTTCGAAAGTCATCTTCGTCGATTTTCCACAGCCTACTTTAGCGAAAGATAATCAATGAGTTGTTGACAACCCCTTCGATCTTCCTCCATATGTATCGTATATTGATCGAACACCACACCATTCCATCACAAGCAGCAAACGGCAACAACGAAATGCAACTGAGATGTGTTTGACGTATTTCTCCAGAGGCGCAATACCAAACATGTACAACAGTGTGACAGAAGACATTTTAAAGGTATGGAGTTGCACATACTTTATAGACAGAGAAGTTATATTGTGCATTTGATTTACTCACATGATTTTGTAAAAATTTTGATCATCCCTTATAGTATGAAGAATTCTAAATTGTTTAAGCGAAATCGTAAGAGTAATGGAAAGGTGGAGAGACGACTTGCTGTGAGAGTAAAAGTGAGCACCATCCTGGTCCAAGTTTGTGGCCTCCTTTGAGGTTGCGTTGTTCCTTCAGTTCACGCCCAGTATTTTTTCATGCTTGTCTGGTAAAGATCAATGAAAACATGAACTCTCTTTACTCTTTCCAGCTTAGGTGTGAAGAGGATTCTTTCTCTCGAGAAAACTAAAGCTGCATTTTCTCGGGGATTATTACAAGGGAAAATATGAAAGACCATTCTGATGCAGGCAACTTGACAAACCTATGTGTTTTCTTTTTCAATTTTTGAAGCCCTAAAAAATGTGTTGCTTCCCCTTAGTTAAAAGTCTTAGCTATTTAATATATTTGTATCGAAATTGGGTGAGTGTAGTTATCGGTGACTCCGAAGTAGGTATGTTAATATCAAAAACTAAAAAGCTTGGATGAGGTCATATGCTTTCAGAAGCTGCAATCATTAGGCCAATGTTTAGAAAAAGAAAGGGAGAAAAACATGTTTGTGATGTAATTGATGAACCTATATCCATTTGGTCTTGCTAGGATCAGCTTTTTCAAAAGTGAGTATATGAGGCTTTGATGCTCCTGAAATACATTGCTTTCAAGAGTGTTAGACTTGATGTGAGACTTAAATTTATAGTTCCAAATGTTAAATTTATTCTAAAGCACGTGCTAAATTTATATATATAAAATGATGCATTTAAAGATGTTAAAGCACTTCGATCCTTATTCATCAGGCAGAAGCACATATATAGTTCAAGTCATCTTAGTCCTTGCTTATGGATTGATGATCAATATGACTAGGAGCATTACAGGTTCAATAATATTTTATTGTAACTTCATTTTCGGTGGTGAAACCTTGGGAGAGGTTAGACCTTGTGATTATAAATATTACTAATGCAGCATATCATAGGTTGTTTTTTATGGTAGCTCCACTTTTTTGCAAACTTTGGGGAGATTTGTTACAGGGAAGGGAAACTAATAGTTAATCACTTTTAACATTCTCATCATAGAAATCGTATTCTTACTTTTTATAGTTATAATAAATGAATTAGTATGCTACATTTGCTTATTTTATTGTCATTTTATAGTAAATGTATTTTTATTGCAGATGCATAAAAAGAAAAGAAGTACATAAAGGTGATAATAAGATTAGGAGGATCAATGAGGAAAAGAAGACAAGAGAGACAAATCTGAGGAATTATGTGTTAAGATGTATAAAAAGAAACTATGATAAGAAGCAAAGCCAAATGACATACTCGATAAATGTAATAAATAGAGATATATACTTATTGGGATAGTTTTATATGCTATCTTTTGTTGTTTTTTGTTGCATTATAGGAGTACGTGTTTTTGTTTGTTGCATTGTGTTTCCTGTTGTTGCATTTTGTGCTTATTGTTGTTTATAGTTGAATTTGATTTTAGTTGTTTATTGTTGTTACTTCATTTGCTTCTAAGATCATGAGTCCCATGATCTTGTTCTCATGGGCAGCACATTCTAATCGAAAGCGCTTAATAGAAGACACGGAGATGATAATTAGATGAGAAAATCAATGAGTAAAAGAAGACAAAGAGACAAATCTTATGGATTGTGTGTTAAAATGCATAAATGGAAGAAGAATGTGGAGAAACAAAGTCAAATAATACTCCCTCCATCCCGCAAAGAACTTCCCGGTTTGATCTACACACATATTAAGGAAATAAACTTACCAGGGGGTAAATTTTACTGTTTTGACACTGTTTCGACACTGTTTGGCACTGTTTGACATTGCTTTACACTTTTTGGCATTGTTTTGATGTAGATAACTTCCCATTTAGCGAAATGGGAACTTCTTTTTGGGACTGCTAAAAAAGGAAAGCGGGAAGTTCTTTGCGGGGCGGAGGGAGTATTATATTACATAAATTTAATAAATTAACTTAACAGGTTGAATTATGTACTTATTGTGATACGTGTGTATGTTTTTTTTTGTTTCTTATTGTTGCATCATATACACTATTTTTTGTTGGATCAAGTTACTTTTTGTTGCAATGTGTTGTTTTTTGTTGCAACATGTTGTTTATTGTTGTGTCATGTTGGTTATTGTTGTTTTTGTTATTTATTTAGAATTCTATTTACCTTTGCTAGATTGTTAAAATAAAAATATATGTATAGATTTATATGCAAACAACTAAAATGATAAATTTGGATTTACGAATATAACCAACAACTAGAAACACAAAGAAACAAAAAATTCATAATTACAAACACAAAGAAACACATAAAAACAATAGGCAACAAAAACTAATAATTTAATAAACTAATAATAATAGAAATAATCATCATAATCCGTAATAATTTAAAAAGTTTAAGTACTTTAAGAAATAATATATTAGAAAATTCGTATTCTTTATTTTTCAATTTTTTTATTTTTTTAAAGTTCATTATTTTAATACGTTCATTTTTTTTTTCTCTGACTTTATTTTAAATCTACACTCTTTTAGATTAAACTAATTTTAAAAAATTTAATTCAAATTAATTTTTGAATGATTTAAAATTTTACATATTTATTTGATTTTTATTTTCTTTAATATGTTTTTTTCAAAATAATTACTTTACCATAGAAGTTTCCGATCGGTATTCATATTTTTTAATAGTTTCAAAACTTTTTTATCTTATTTTATGTATTTTTTTTATATTTTTAAGGTTATTGATTACCTATTTAAAAACATTACATTAATAAGACCATATTTTGGACCTTCTACGATTTTCCCACATTTTAACTATTTTTAATTTTTTATATGTTATTTTTCGAGTTTTTTATTTTAAAATTTCCATATTTTTTTATTTCTCATTTTTTTTGTAAAATTTAAATTCCTCTTGTTTTATATTTTTATATCTACTTAACAAGTTTCCTTTTTTTTGAATTAAATCAATTTTTTCTTAGAGTTCTTAATTTATTAAAATCTAATTTTATTTTTAGAATTCTACAAAGATAACTTTTTAAATAATTGATTTTATAATTTTTTTCTACTTTTTAACAATATTTTACACTTTTCTTTATTAGTATGTCAAAGTTATCATGGATTTTACCAAAAACAAGTGCTCAATATTTAGAAAGATTTTACACTTCGTAGCATTTTTTACATTTGTAACGTTTATTATAATGATTCTATTTTAAACTCATTATTTTCACGTGTGTTAGAATTTTAGGATATGCACTAACCATACGTTGGAGCTAAAGTTTTATGGTTCAGGGTGTTAAAGGCTTAGAGTCTGTTTTTGGAAGAAAAAAAATTGATTAGTCTATTTTTGAAAGAAACTTTAAAAGGTGAAATAAGTGATACTAAGTACTCGTATTATTTTTCCTTTTTAGACTACTTGTGAAAAAGTCCCACGCAGCCCCTATTTCTACGGTGGCATTTATTACCATAATGAAAAGTTAAATACTGTATGTTTTAAAAATATTCAACCTCAAAGAGCTGCTTAGTATGCATTCAAGTTTAGATAAAACGTAACCCGCACGGGTAGCTCAGTTGGTTCAGTGGTGGGAAATTTGGACCAAGTGACCAAGGTTCGAAACCCGCAGCGGCCGTGTGGAAGTCATAGAACCTGAAATAAGGCTGAGTCTCTGGTGCGCACGGGAAAAAGGCCTACCATCATTGGGCCGACTGAGTCACTGTGATTAACATCCTCTCAAAAATCTTGTCGGGTCGGGGTATGGGGAGCTCTTGGGGTGGGAGATTCCACCTTTTGGACCAAGTCTAGATAAAACGTCCATAAAAAAACCACACATCAGTACATCCCAATACTCCATCCGTTCCTATTATATCTTCCAACTTTCCTTTTTAATCCGTTCCAATTAAACTTCCACTTTCCCCTTTTGGTAAAGAATTTGTGGTTCACAACATTTCTTACACATTTCTCTCTCCTCTACACAACTCTCCACCATACAATATCTACTTTTCTTAAATTGTGTGCCCATGGGAAATGGAAGATAAAATGGGAAAGGAGGGAGTATTTCAAAGCTTGGACAGATTTTTGTACTTGCCTCAACTCCACCTTCTTTCATCCTCTTCCTCATCAACCGGAACATACCAAGAAGGCCTTTTCTTTTTTGAGTTGCTCGATCTGTAATTCAATAGCACTTCCTCATCACAAATAGGTCTAGTAGCAACAAGAACAAGAGACTTAAGGACTGGGGTGGCTAGATCTGCCCCACTACCACTTGATTTCCATGATTTAAACCAGAAGCTGCCTACTTTCTTCATCTTCACCTCCTCCTTTCCAAAAGAGACATTTGGAATGTAAGGTCGCAAGTCCTCATTTTCAGCACTAAGGGGAAAATCATAGGAACAGATCATGACATTTGGGCCCGTGTCCTTTGCCGGGTGATTAGCGAAATGTGCAAAAGCCAAAGGGTTTCTCCTCTCCAACACTTCGCTTACTTTATGTCCCAAGCCACTTGAGGCATCCAAGGGTTTACTAAGCATTCCCCAGATTCGGTCAGACCCAGTTTTATCTTTAACAGGAGGAGACATTGTCTGTGATCTGTTGGGCCGAGAATTTGATAAATAAAATGGACCCATGTTCGTATAAAGATGCTGGAAGTCCGGACCGAAACTTAAGGAAGAGATAAATGCAACGAGACCAAGCCTAAGAGAAGAGTGCTAGTATAAATGTTTTTGAGGGCTTTAGCAAGAGGGAGAGATACCTGAGAAATTATTATCATTGTATTGCATTGATCATTATCAAGATAAAGCTTATACATTTCGTATTCATAATCTTTGCATACTTTCATTGTGATTCTTGTACGACACCCCACATCTTTCTTTTGATTCATTGATTGTTTGAATTAGCATAAATATTGCTTAAACAATGGGTTATTCATCAGTCTGCTTAAAGATTCTTATGTTTCGACTTAACTAACTTAAGCCTCATTGCACCCCTCCACTTCCAACCAAATTTATAGAGGACGGATGGCCAAACTTTGAAGCCCCGCTATGCCTTTTTTCCATGCTGGTTTCATTTCTTTAATGTTTTAAACATGAGTCTCCACTTTCTTAACAGAAATTGGAGAGACAAATGAAGAATCAAGAGTCTGTTTGGCAAACGGCTAAATCTTTCAGAAGGGGAAATTTACGAAGTCAAAAGCTTTATTCCACTCATCCACTCATAAGTGAAATAAACCAGAAAATGGTATCAAACGGATCCTTAAGACGATGACAGACATGTAAACAGTAATGTAGGTAGATGAGAAACATCTCCCAACAGAACCAGAGAGAAGTTGAACTTCTCAAGATGGCCAGCAAGACAAGTTTAGAGGCTTGAAATGGGTTAGGTTGATAACAAACTGACCTTAGCTACTTTCAGTGCCTTTTGAATGACATAGTTCCCGAAAGGATCAATAAGAAGCAATGGAAGATTTGGGCTCGATATCAACTCTGTAATAATTCTAGTTGACTGCTCGCCTGATTTAAGAAAGAATTTTTCAACAACATTACTAGCATATTTGTTGCATGCTAGAGATGCAAACTTCCCTTGAAGACGTGCAAGTAGATTTTCTTCTACTCCCGGAATGTGTTGTCCAAGCAGATGTTGCACAACATAGTTGCTGCAAATAGTGAAAGAGATATAAAAAGAAAAGAAAAAAAATGTTATTTTTGTGAATCTACTCCTTATGTGTTTGTCATGTGTTACGAGGATCTAGAAACAATGTATAAGAAGCAAACCCGTATGGATTTTCTGATAGCTGATCTGCATATGCTATGATTTCATTCACCAAACACTCCCTTGCTTCTCCGTGTGTATTCTCTATACATGACTGCAACACACAACATCCGCTTCTATTGGTTGCGATTCCAAAGCAGTTCTTTGCTAATTCGTTGATAAGTTTCTGCCATATACAGTTAGCCTTTTGTCAGACCGGAAACAAGCATGCATTTTACAAAGTATCTTGTGTGAGAAAACTATAAGGTTGTCCCGTTTCATTCTCATCATACTGATATACAGCATGCTTTCCAACTTTGAAAATGCATTTACCTGTTCACATTGAGCAAAAAAAGTATATCTAACGATCATACATTAGTGTAGGAATTTATATCCATTTAATACATGGTTATTCCTATCCCTTCTATTTCTTCACTTCAGCTCATTTGGTTGTGCCTATTGAAAATTAAACTTGTTTTTGGGTCTAATTAATATTTAGTTTTAGTTGTTGTTGGGAAGGCCCAAGTGATAGAAAAATGTAGAAGGGATAAATTCTAGAGTTTCTCTAGAAGATGTGGTCTAGAATTTTCCTATAATTAATTGAGTAGAATTGTGTAGAATGTATTAATTGTAGAAGATTCTAGATTTCATTGTGCTAGTATAAATAGAGGTCTCCTACCCCCACTTTGTATCAAGCAAATCAAGCAAATTGAGTTGTTCTAATAAAAAGAGTTCTTCCCCTTTGTTCAAATATCTCTTCCATAATATTTCTAATTTAGCCTCCCAATTTCCCAAATCTTCCTTCACTTATTTCCAACAGTGGTATCAGAGTCGTTCAGTCATCACCCTGAAATGGCCGGTTCTCTTCAAGTTCCTCCATTAAAAAAGGAGAATTATGATAATTGGAGCATTCGCGTGAAGGTAATACTTGTTTTGGAAGATGTGTGGGACATGGTAGAGGAAGGCTTCGAGGAACCCGAAGACATCAACGCCTTAAATCAAAATCAAAAGAATGCTTTGAGGAGTACTAAGAAGAAAGATCAAAAGGCGCTCTCTATCATTCATCAGGCCGGTGTCTACTATCACAATGTAACACCGACCTCGAGCATATTTACTTTAGTAAATTATGTAATGAACCTTGGAAGATGATTTGTGAATTTGCGTAATTGTAAATTTTTATTATTTCTTTTACGTGAATAGTAAATTGCATGTGGGGCCCACAGCGGGAACGGGGACCGCCCGGTAATTCCCGAACCACATATTATATTCATCTTGGTCTAGATAATATGTATATGGTGGTGGATATTTTATTTGGGCCATAAGAAAGGCATGGGGTTGACCGGTTAGTCAAACGGGGCCCAATTACCGGTATTGGCAATTTAACGGATAACAGCCCGAAACGAGTTTCGGAGACTCCTAAATTAATGTTGGGGAATATACATCTACTCTGAAGGTCCATAATTATTAGGAACACGTTATATAATTTATTTAGCCCAATAAAATAAAATATAATTAAAACAGTCCGAAAAATACAACTTTCGGGGCCGATTGTACACACCGGGACACAACGGGATGACCTCCCACCTAAGTGGGGGCCACCCCACGTTTTTAGGTGAGCTAGCTGACCAAATAATGGGAGAAGGACAAGATTGAGTGGGATGATACGGATGGAGGAGAGGGGGGAAGTCTCATAGAGACAAACACCCATACCCCTTGGCCTACCCATTTGACCTCTCTCAATTGATTGAGGAGAGTTATCTCCTACCAAGAGCACACATTCGGCCAGCAAGAAAAGGAAGAGAGAGAGCTCCAAGGAAGCTCTTACATAGCTCAAGTTGAGGAGGCAGAAGGAAGAAAACCCAAGAAGAAAAGCTAGAGTAGAGGTAAGAGCTCAACTAGTTTTCCACTTTTTACTAGTTTATTTGTGTATGATTTTTAATAAATCATATGGTGGATTAAACATGATGTTCTACACGTTCAAAAGTGTAGAATGGTGGTATTTAACTTAGAAGAGTTGTGGAGTCGATAGGAGTCGAAACCGCCGGAAAACCGCCATTGTAGGGGACTGTTTTCGAGCTGCAGGCCCGAAAGCCGCCCACCTTTCACCAAAGCCGCCCGGCTTTCACTCGACTTCCAGATTTTTCACTCTTGAACGGCCTAGAACGAGGACTGATCGAGGGGGTTCCACTAAGGCAGCTAGTTGAGCACATCATAAGGTGAGGATGGCTGACTATATTGCTTATAATTAGTGAGTTAATTTCATGAGATTACCGAAGGTAATTAAATGTGTTTTTATGGATTATTAATGATTAATAATGCCTATAAATGAAAAGACTAAATGTCTAGAGAAAAATGAGCATGATATACAAATTTAGGAGTAAATTGTGTATGTTCATGTGTTATGAGTATGTTGACTTGGAAGTGGAAATTATTATGAAACATGTGTTGAGATATACTTTTTCTTCATATTAGAATATATGAGTGATTAAAAGTGATATTTTGGATATTGAGATAAATGATATTTTCAAAGGAAAATCAGTTGGAATTGTCTATATGACTATGAGTTGAGAACTTGGTTGTTGATATTAATTTGACTAGTATTAAGATACTAGTTGGACATTAAGATTAGATGTTGTTAAGATTGATCCTAAGGTTGGATTGTGAAATGTTATGCCTTAAATAGTCTTAAGAGATGCTTTAAGGTAGGAAAGTATGAACTCTAAGTTATACTAGGGGTAGGCCTTAAGAGATACCCAAGATAAAGTAAATAATAAATTGATCCTAAGTATAGGATTGGCCTACGGGTGTGTACGGTAGTCCTTGTGGATAGCCGGTTGAATTATGGAAATAGTAAGGACCATGGCCCTTCCCGACTCTAGAGAGCGGGGTTGGATAGCATGGACTTACATCGTGATCACTGGTTAGGGTGGAATCCGAATCGGAGACCTAACTAGGTTCCGGTAGCGGTAACACATAAGATAGGACCCCGAAGGGCCTTACCTTCCTACGGGATGATGGGTACGAGTCCAGGGGCGGGATGTTGGAGTCCGAACCGGGAGCCTCATGAGGTCTCGGACAGCGGTAGCAAGTCCCGTAGAAATAATAGGACCCAAGGGTTGGGTTATGCAAATGATAAATAAAAAAGGATATATAAGAAGGGCCGTGTGCCGACAAATAAATAAATTTACTTATTATAAAGATAATAAGTGGGAAATATAAATTATTATTTATATTATGATATCACCCTATTTTGAGGGTCTTAGAAATTAAAACGTTGATTATACTTAGTATAGTTGCTATTGTACTTGTCAAATATTTCCAAGTACTGACCTCCCCTTCACGGGGGAGGCCACCTCACAGTTTCAGGTAGAACTTGAAGGTTGCTACCGGCGCCCGTTGCTTCGGGGATTTTCAAGGGAGAAGACGTGGTTCGTGCTTCTTCTGTTTCCTGTTTTCAAAACAATTATAATAGTGCTCATGGATATTATTTTGAATAACTATTTGGGGGCTTGCATGCCCATGTTTGCCAAAGTGTGGCTAATACACTTCTATTAAATGCTTCCGCTGTTTAAATGAATGTTTTACATTATGTTTGTTTATGGATGTACTATGTGTGAATGATATTCATGACGCCTTGTATTGTATGGATGAGTTGGATTGCGGTTGACTATTCGTACTGTACGGCGGGTTGTTGACGTGTCCGGCTAGGTCCGGGGCGTGACAATTTAATTGGTATCAGAGCCTTAGTCCGTAAACATCATAATGAAGCTTCAAAATTTCTTTTTGAAAACGAATTTGAAAACCATGAGCATAAGGTTTTGTACTTATATAGAACTTTTGGTACTTGAGTTGCAATGTCTCTAATTGTTAAGATGGTACCCTTAGCAATTGGTATGGCGGTGATTTGAGCCAAAAGATGTCTTTAAGTGCCTATCCGTCAATTGACATTTGATACGAGTCTAATGACTCATTCTAAATTTCTTTCAGAAATGGAACGTACCGGGAAGGTTACTCGACGGAACCCGACTGGCCAAGCACCGGGAGGATCCTTACGTGGCAGTCGGGGAGGATCAAGGGTGTCTAGGAGACAAGGCCGTGCAGGCCACTCGCTGACCGTGAGTGACGGTCATGTGGAAACTATAGACGAGCACTATGAGTCCGAGGAGTATTCAACTTACCAGCCGGGAACTGA